ATGTAGATGGAGTAACTACGGGAGTAAATCTATTCATTTGCTGATAGGGGAAATGAGAAGAAACAGTTGCAAACATTCACTAATAACTGGAACATGGAATGTATGACATATGAATCTAGGAAAATTGGAAGTTGTCAAAAATGAAATGGAACACATAAAAGTCAATAAGCTAGGCATTAGTGAGTGGAAATGGACTGTTTTTGGCCATTTTGAATCAGAGTATCTATCATATGGCCTACTATGCCAAGAATGACAAATTGAAGAGGAATGGTGTCATATTCATTATCAGAAAGAACATTTCAAGATTGATCCTGAAGTACTATACTGTCAGTGATAGGATAATATCCATATACCTACAAGGAAGACCAGTTAATACTACTATTATTCAAATGTACCATCAAGTACTAAAGCCAAAGATGAAGAAATTGAAGATATTTACTGACTCCTGCAGTATGAAATTGACCAAACATGCAATCAAGATGTGCTGATTATTACTGGTGATTGGAATGCAAAAGTTGGAAACAAAGAAGAATCACCAGTAGTTGGAAAATATGGTTTTGGTGATAGAAATGATGCTGGAGATCGCATGATAGAATTCTGTAAGACCAACCACTTAGTCATTGCAAATCTCCTTTTTCAACAACACACATGGCAGCTATACACATAGACTTCACCAGATGGAATACACAGGAATCAAATCGACTACATCTGTAAAAAGAAGCAACGGAGAAACTTGATATCTTCAGGAGCTGACTGTGGAACAGACCATCAATTGCTCATGTTCTACTTCAAATTGAAGCTGAAGAAAATTAAATAAAGTCCACAAGAGCCAAAATACAACCCTAATTATATCCCACCTGAATTTGGAGACCATGTGAAGAATGAATTTGACACACTGAACACCAATGATCGAAGATGAGACAAGTTGTGTGATGACATCAAGAATATCATCCATGAAGAAAGCAAAAGTCATTAAAAAGACAGAAAAGGAAGAAAAAAACAAAATGGATGTCAGAAGAGACTCTGAAACTTGCTCTTGAATGGAGAGTAGCTAAAGTGAAAGGAAGAAATGTTGAAATAAAAGAGCTGAACAGAAGATTTCAAAGGGCAGTGTGAGAAGACAATGTATTATAATGAAATGTGCAAAGACCTGGAGTTAGAAAACCAAAAGGGAAGAACGTGCTTGCCATTTCTCAAACTTAAAGAATTGAAGAAAAACTTTGAACCCTGACTTCCAATATTGAAGGATTCTATGGGCAAAATATTGAATGATGCAGGAAGCCTCAAAAGAAGATGAAAAGAATACACAGAATCATTGTACCAAAAAGAATTGGCTGATGTTTAACTGTTTCAGGATGTAGCATATGATCAACAACCAATGGCACAGAAGGAAGAAGTCCAAGCTGCACATTAGAAATTGGTGAAAAACAAGGCTCCAGGAATTGGTGGAATACCCATTGAGATGTTTCAACAAAGAGATGCAGTACTGGAGGCACTTACTTGTTTATGCCAAGAAATAAATACTGAAGACAGCTACCTGGCCAACTGACTGGAAGAGATCCATATCTGTACCCATTCCAAAGAAAGGTGATCCCACAGAATGTGAAAATTATAGAACAGTATCATTAATAGCACATGCAAGTAAAATATTACCAAAGAAAATTAAAAAATGATTGCAGCAATATATTAACAGGGAACTTCCAGAAATTCAAGCTGGTTTCAGAAGAGGATGAGGAATGGGGGATATTATCGCTGATGTCAGATGGATCTTGGTTGAAAGTAAAGAATATCAGAAAGATGTTTACCTGAGTTTTATTAACTTTGCAAAGGCATAACAAATTATGGGTAACATGCAAAGAATGGGAGTTTTATAACACTCAATTGTGCTTATGAGGAACATGTACATAGACCAAGAGGCTGTCATTTGAACAGAAGAAGGGGATACTGCATGGTTTAAAATAAAAAAGGATGTGTTACACTGTTGTATCCTTTCACCATATTTATTCAGTCTATATGCTGAGTAAATAATCTGAAAAGCTGGACTATATGAAGAAGAACGTGGCATCAGGATTAGAGGAAGGCTCATTAACAAACTGTGACATGCAGATGACACAACCTTGCTTGCTAAAAGTAAAGAGGATATGAGGCACTCACTGATGAAGATCAAAGATTACAGTCTCCATATGGATTACACCTTGAAATAAAGAAAATAAAAATCCTCACAACTGGACCAATAAGCAACATCATGATAAACAGAGAAAAGATTGAAGTTATCGGGGTTTTATTTTACTTGGATCCACAATCAATGCTGATAAAAGCAGCAATAAAAAAAAATCAGACATCATAATGCACTGGGCAAATCTGCTGCAAAAGACCTCTTTAAAGTCTTAAGAGACAGATGTCACCTTGAAGAGTAAGATGCGCCTAACTCAAGCCAAGGTATTTTCAATCACCTCATATGCATGTTGATGCCTTTGAATTGTGGTGCTGAGGAAGAATACTGAAGATACCATGCACTATCAAAGAACAAATCTGTCTTGGAGAAAGTACAGCCCGAATACTTCTTACAAGTGAGAGCGGTCAGACTTCACCTCACCTGTTTGGTCATGTTGTCATAAGTGAGTAGTCCCTGGAGAAGGATGTCATGCTTGGTAAAGTAGAGGGGCATCAGAAAAGGGAAGAAACTCAGAGACGGATTGACACAGTGGCTGTGACAGGCTCAGGCATGGCGGCAATTGTGAGGATGGTGCAGGATTGGGCAGTGTTCTGTTCTGTTGTACAGAGGGTCCCTACGAGTCAGGACTTGAAGGCACCCAATAACAACAACACATTTTTTTACGTATCAATAGATAATTAATGTAAGAAGGAAGAAAGGAAAACTTAGCGTCCTCAGTATGAGTGAGAATCATAAAATTAGGGGATTCACCACCTCACCACCCCAAAAAAAGAAAACAAACAAAAAACCTGCCCAAGTATCATGCACTCCGTTATCTGTTGCTATCAGAAAGGCAAAGCAACCCCTCTGTGGTATTCTTAGTAAAGGCTCACCACAATCTAGGCTTCAGAGCTCCATGGCACCCTAATTCTGCCCTGTCCCCAGGGACCTTTGTGCCCCCAGGACCAATGGCCAGTTTTAGTTTTAAGTGCACAAGTCTGTCATGGCAGACAGTAGTCTGGAATTATGAAGGCAAAGAATGTCCAAGTCTGTAAGCATGGTTCTTTGCCAGGTAGAGATGTGTCTACGAGGCAGGTTTACCCAAAGGGTCTTGTGGCCAGCAGTGTGTGGAAGCTTAAAGTAGGAAGTAGTTTCCTTGATTTCAGGAACCTAAGTAACAATTTTCCATCAGGAATAGCAAACCTGTGTTTAAATCACTGAAAGATAATCTGCACATTTGTGAGGTCCTTGAACTAATTGTTTTATGAGTGATTTTTACCTAGGGAAGGAATGCATGCTAAAATGTGCCCAAATTTCCACACAGCTAAGCTTTGGTAAAAGCTCCAGTGGTGTGCAGTGTCTAAGGCATTTATTTGACTGCTAACCAGAAGGTTCAAACCCACCAGCCACTACTCGGAAGGAAGACTGGGCAATATACTTCTGCAGAGATACTGCCTCGGAAACCCAAGGAGGGGGTGCTATGAGTTGGAAACAACTCGATGGCAGTGAGTTTTAGTTAGGGAAGAAAATGCCTTTCTGGGAGGCATTTTTGAAGGGGAGAGATGATAAATTAAGCACAGGAAAATGCCAGCTGTGTACGCTCTGGATCTTTCCCATGTGTTTTCCTTTAATCTCATGCACACCATTCACCATTGCGGAATCTGAATTGTGGCCTGAGTGTGGCACTGGGAACAGAAGGCAAGAAAGCTGCTTTCTTATAAGGTAGTGGGGGGCAGGGAGAGGGGATGTTCACCTGGCTCAGAGTGGCTTTACACATGAAATGGTTGCTGACCCCTGTGTGGAGTCTAGCAAGAACATCCTTCAAGCCACGTTGTCTATTGTTTCTCAGGAGAGAAAGATGGACAGAATTCACTAAGATCTTTACTCCTACCCAAAGGAGTTCCTGGGTGGTGCACATAGTTAAGTGCTGGGCTACTAACTGAAGGGGTGACGGTTCAAACCCACCCAGAGGTATGTTGAAGAATGGCTGGCTGACCTGCTTTTGAAAAGTAACAACCATGAAAATGCTAGGGGCAGTTCTACTCTGCAACACATGGGCTCACCCTGAGTCTGCCTCAATGGCACTAGTTTTTGTTTTGTTTTGTTTTTACTACCCAAGCTGTGATGTGAACTCAAATGCCATAGAAATCTAGCACTCCTACTGTTTTCAACTCAGACTAGGTTGAGCTGTTCTCAATGGTGGTGGCAGATCTGTCCTCAGTCACTGTTTTCCTTGTTAGGATTTCATCATCATCATCATTTTCCCCCATTGTCTGACGCTCCCTCCTCATTGAACAAAAAACCAAATCTGTTGCTGCTGAGTCAATTCCAACTTGTGGGGACCCCAAGTGTTACAGAGTCAAACTGCGTCATAAGGTTTTCTTGCCTATGATCTGTATGGAAGCAGGTTGCTAGACCTTTTTTTCTGTGGTGCCACTGGGTAGGTTCAAAGTGCCAACAGTTTGGTTAGTTTGGTTAGTTGCTGTTGTTGCTAGGTGCCATCGAGTCAGTTCTAACTGACAGCAACCCTATTCGTAATGGAATGAAACCTTGCCTGGTCCTCCACCATCCTCACAATCACTGCTGTGGTCGAGTGTGTTGTAGCCACTGTGTCAGTCTATCTCATTGAGGGTGTTTCTCTTTTTCTCTGACCCTCTACTTCACCAAGCCTCATGTCCTTGTCTAGCAACCGCTCCTTCCCTAGTGACTGCTCCTTCTCGATAGCCTGTCATAAATACATGAGACGGAAGCTCATCATCCTTGCTCCTAAGGAGCATCCTGGCTGTACTTCCCAGACCGATTTGCTCCGTTCTCGCCACCCAGGGGCTCCCTCCACATCAAATACCACCTTGTTCACGCCTTCTTGCACAGGCTGCTCTTCTTCCTCTCCACCCTCCTCCTGATTAGCGTCATCTCTATTTCCGGCTGTTGGTTTTTTCTCTGGTTCTTCTGGTTCGGGATCAAAGTTGAAAGTAAAGAAGTTATAGGCCTCTTCTGCAGAAGGGAAGCCAGGTGGAACCTAAGGAGAAGAGGGCAGTAGTGATTTCAGATATATGATGGAAATGGGCTCCATGGTGTTAACAGAGAACTGGCGAAATTCAGGGATGGAATACCCAGTTAGCAAGATAAGCACATGCTCACATGGGCATACTTACTAATCTGTACTGAATGATTTCATGTTTCTCAGCACAGCAAAACATGTGAAACTGTTCACTACAAATTAGTAAGTAAGCACAAGTAAGCCCATGCTTACTTACATGCTTAAGTTCCCATCAGGGACTGCAAATTTGAAAGGCTGTGATTCTGTAGGAAAGTGATGTGGGGTTGGGAGAGAGACAGATACCAACCATACCTAGAAGTAGAATCTTTGATGTGAAAAAATGCAAAACTATTCACTCCAGATCAGTAAGCAAGCACAAGTAAGCCCGTGCTTACCCTGCTTCTTGGGTAATCTGACACTGCCTGGTTTGATGCTAACAGGATTAGGCACATTCTAGGTATCCTATGAGTATTATCTTTAAAGGTAGGAAATGACTGGCAATGAACTCGAGCAGAGGCAGCCAGCAGATGGTGGCCTACTTTAACAAGTAACTTCATAAATTACTTTTTGATAAACAATTATTTATACACCAATAACTTTCATAGAGCAATGCATACATTATTTACAGCAATAAAAGGTTAAAAAAAGATGATTAAAATGTTAAAAAGTGGATTTATTTTTATAGATCAGTATTGGGGCAGTCTAATTATAAGCAATACAGATGCTGTGACCCTTAAAATAATAAAGCACCATTTTCTTGGCTTTGCGTCTTCTTGGTCTAGTACTCTCTTTGTCCCTACAGTGAAATCTGGCACACTGGGAGCCTAACACCGTTATGACTGTTCACTACAGATGAGTTAGTAAGCAGAAGTAAGCTTCCTGCCCTGTCACTCCAAATCAGAAATAATTCAGATATTTCCCACTAGCTTTTTTTAAAATTATTATTATTATTTAATTTTATTTTGATTTGGGTGAAGATTTACAGGGCAAATTCACTTTCCATACAGCAGTTCACATATACTTTGTCGCATGTCATTGACCACAGTTTACCACAATGCAACAGCTCCCCTCCCCCTTCCTCCCCATAGTTACCACTTCCCAGTGTCCATCCCT